ACTGCTGGGCACAGTGGCTCACACTCGTAATCCCAGCATTTTGGGGGGCTGAGGCAGGCGGATCACTTGAGGTCAGGAGTTTGAGACCAGCCTGGCCAACGTGGCAAAATCCTTTCTTTACTGAAAATACAAAAATTAGTTGGACGTGGTGGCGTGCACCTGTAATCCTAGCTACTCCAGAGGCTGAGGCATGAGAATCACCTGAACCTGGGAGGTGGAGGTTGCAGTGAGCCAAGATCGAGCCACTGCACTCCAGTCTGGGTGACAGAGCGAGACTCTCTCAAAAAAAAAGGCATCACTGCTGGGTTCAGTAGCTCATGCCTATAATCCCAGCAACAGCACGATCTTTTGAGCCCAGTAGTTCAAGGCCAGCCTGGGCAACATAGCAAGACCCCAAGGCCCTATTTCAAAAAAAAAAAAAACGATTAATTAGTCCGATGTTTTGGCGTGTACCTGTAATCCCAGCTTCTTGGGAGACTGAGGGGAGAGGATTCCTTGAGCTCAGGAGTTTGAGGCTCAGTGAGCTATGATGGGTCACTGCAGTCCAGCCAGAGCAACCCTCTCTTAATAATAAGAAGAATTTTTTGAAAGAAAAGCCATTACAAAAGAAGTTATTTGATAATGAGTACGAGCTTGGCCATACAGAATCCCACCCAGGCGGCACTGAAGGAACTGAGAGGCAGACACCCAGATAGAACAGCAAAGTGGGTCTATCCGGGGAGCCAGTGCCCTTCCGAGCTGAGAGCCTCTGGGGTTGTTGACAGCATTCCAGGCTGAAGGCCCCAGTAGACTCTGACCCATGCATTTATTCTCTCTGAACAAGTGATCATTATTAACAAACAGGTGTTCGGTATTTTCTCATAACACAAAACACTCCAAGTAGGCAGCTGGTGCCCACTTACCACTGATCACAAACAACCTAAAAAGTATGAGCCACCACGCCCAGCCTGAAGTATAAGATCGGAGAGACAGCTTGCCTGCAGTATTCACACATTTCCTTACCACGGGCTAGTCACTTAAAATGGCCATGCTAATACTTGTTTCATGGAACAATAGTGACTATCAAATCAGCCGGCAGACTACGGATAAAAGCAACATCATAAAAATGTATGTTCAAGTCTGGGCAAGATAGTGAGACCTCATCTCTTAAAAATAATAATAGTTTTAAAAAATAGCAGGATGTGGTGGCATGCATCTGTAGCCCCAGCTAGTCAGGAGGCTGAGATGGAAGGATCACTTGAGCTCAGGAGGTCGAGGCTACAGTGAGCTATAATCACTGCTGCTGTACTCCAGCCTGGGTGGGAGTGAGACCCTGCCTCTAACAACAACAATAAAAGGTATGTTCATTATTAGAAGCCTATCCCTGAACTCAGCTAGAATTTTATAGCACACATAGAGTTGCATCTTCAATTCTACAGGAAGTTAAGCCCTAGGTGAGTTGACAATTTAGAAAAATTCCTCAAAAAAGAAGAAAGACTGGAAGTGGTGTAGTATTTCCTAGACTGCACTTGACTTCACACGATAGTGTGCTGCAAGGTGAATGGGAAGGGCTTAGTCCTCAGACCAAACTTCAGCCGGCCACTTTCCCTCATTCAACACATATTTAGGACCTATATCATGTTCTAGGAAATTACTAGTTATGTGACTTAGGTAGACAACTCTTTTGAACTTTTTCTTATCTAGAAAACTAAAAATAATATGTATATACCTTATAGATCTATTGTAAAAATTAAGTAAAATGGGTCCATTGTAAAGAATGTATTAGAACATCAGCTCTGCATCACCCCTGGCTGGTCTCAGTTCCTAGCAAGATTGGGCAGCCCTGACCCACTTGGTCTGGGGCACTGGATTGGCACCTGGCTTGTTCTGTCTTCTGCAGAGCTCAGCCAGGCATTCAGCACTCCTACTAGCTGGGGTAGAGAACACAATGGAAGCAGAAACAGCTTCTCCAAAGGCTGACCTGGCGTGGTCTATGCTGGTTAGTCAAGGGGAACAGAAGCCACTCAAGTATGTAGTGGTTGATTAAACTCCTGCTGTTTGCCTCAGAGCATTCCTTCCACCCAGCCTTAACTGCTAGTATCTAAGGTCTATCCAGACATCCTGCATGCAGAGGGAATACGTGAAGATTAGTTTCTCTGTGTCATTGAAGAAACCTGGGCCCCATTTCCCCCACTGAAGAAATCAGCCTTCTCCTGGATTATCTGGGTTCACTGGGCCCTTCTGTGAAGGACTTTTTTCAAATGATTGCAGGTATCCTGTCTTTCCCTGCCCATGGCTCACAAGCTCTCCACCAGTCCTCATCACCGGCAGCCAAAGCTGCAACTGAACTGATTCAGCAGAAAAGAAATGAATGTACTAAAAGGATATTGGGAGAGCCCGGGAGCCAGGCCTGAGGTAAAGCTTCCAGGAACCATATGTAAGAAGACCGTGCTGCAGAAGTTGTTGGATGAGAATGCTGCAGCCACCCGCGAGTTCTTGCTGGTGCTGTTTGTGCACTGCTAGGACCCCACCTACCCGTGACTGCTGTGGCACCCACTACACATGCTGCTGCTGCCCCAGGAGCACACAGCTGTTACCCAAAGCACGTCAGATGTGTGTGCCACCATGATCCCTTGAAAAGTGCACACCTGTGTATACTTTGTCCTCATGTTTGTCACCTGCAACTCAGTCAGGTGCCCCTGACTGGTGAACTCCAGACCACAGGCTCCTAATACAAGTCTTCTAGCTTTCATCTTAGAAAAGCAGGACACCTGTAATCCCAATACTTTGGGAGGTCAAGGTGGGAGGATCACTTGTGGCTAGAAGTTCAAGACCAGCCTGGGCAACATAGCCAGATGCCATCGAAAGAAAGGAAGAAAGAAGGAAGGAAGGAAGGAAGGAAGGAAGGAAGGAAGGAAGGAAGGAAGGAAAGAAAGAGAGAGAGAGAAAGAAAAAGAAAGAAAGGAAGGAAAGAGAAAGAGAAAGAAAGAAAGAAAAAGGAAGAAAGGAAAGAAGGAGGGAAGGAAGGGGAAGAAGGAAAAGAAAGAGGAAGAGAGAAAGAGAGAAAAGGAAAGGAAAAAGAAAACAGAATTCCAAAAGTGGAAAAATTTCCAAGCGTTAGAACATGCATCAGAAATAGACAAAAAAAAAAAAAAAAAAAAAAAAAAAAAAAAAAAAAAAAAAAAAAAAAAAAAAAAAAAAAAAAAAAAAAATATATATATATATATATATGTATATATATAATGTCCACTTTGTACTCTGGCCTTGGGCTCTCAGTCCCTTCTCCTCCCACCTGATGGACCCAGACCTAGGGCCCTCTGTTAAGGCTTGGCCTGAGATGTTCTGCAGGGGGTCCTGAGCCATGAGAGTAGTGCACGGAATTCAAATGGGCATCTCTGGACAGTGAGCAACAACACGGTGCTGCCTGGGCTTGGGAACCCCAGAGGGTGTTAAGGGAAGGGTGCCAGGGTGGTGATGAGCTAGGCATAAAATGGGAGATCTAGGATAGCCTTGGGGAACATCTAGTGGGCATCACACATCCAAATGCCTACAGATAGGGGCCAGGCAGGTCAGACAATAGGGAATGATGGGGCCTGTGGGGATGCCCCTTTAGGCATTACGTTCCAAACTTAAGTCTACCGTGCAAAGGTGGTAAGAATGATACAAGTGGTTGTTTGCGGGGGGGGGGGGGGGGGGGGGGGGGGTGTGTTTGGGGGGGGGGGGGGGGTTTTTGGGGGGGGGCGCTGATTGACTATAAAGGGGCATGAAGAAACTGCAGGTGATGGAAATGTTCTGCATGCTGCTTTGGGTGGGGTTACATCTTCATCAAAGAAACAACTTAGATCTGTGCATTTTACCATCAAGTATAACTCAATTTTTAAACTTGGGGCAAGTTCATAAAGACTGTCTGCAAACTGATCTGGTTCTCAGGCTAGTTATTTGCAAACTTCTGTTGCAATTCAGCTTCCTTTATCTCACGAGTGAGGAGTCAGAGACCCGGAGAGGGTCTCCTACCTTTCCCCTCTGGGTGGGGCAAGTCCTGACTGCCCCAAGGCGGCCCAGGCTCCTCCGCCTGCAAAAGCGCGACGGCGGCGTGGTCAGTGACGGCGGTGGCCGCTCACTGCACCTTCTATACGCCTGGCCGGTGGCGCGCGGCAGGCAGCCGTGCCAGCCTAGCATTTCCACCGGCCGGGAGGAGGCGGTCCCCCGGGGCCGGGCTGGCGTCTCGCTGACCTGAAAATGAGCCGGTCACCCCAAAGGCCAACTCCGAAAGGAGAGGAAGTGGATGGAACAGCCGGCCCCAGGGAGCGCTGGCCAGGCACGCAGATAAATCACGGACACACATTGCACAGATCGCTCAGACTGGCGTTGAGTGCCAAATGCCGACACAGACACGGCTGAGTTCCAGGAAGAGAAAGCGCATCCGATCCGCGCGAGGTGGCGGCGGCGGAGCAAAGGGAAGTCCACCTGAGGGGGCGGGAGGGGCACCCAGCCTTGATGGAGACCCTCCCCGGGCGGGCACTTCGGGCACTTCCCGAGGTCTTACCGGCCACCCGCCTGCCCGGGGAGGCGCCAGCACCCGGCATCGCCACTTCACTAGGGAAAAGCCGGGCCGCCACAGTTCCCGGAGCCACAGGGACTGCGGTGCAATTCCAGGCCGGGTGTGCGACCCCCCGCCCTCGCTCTGTCCTCTCCTCCAGCCTGAGGCGAGCAGATGTCTGCAGGAGTACCTCCGAGCCCCTCCCAAGGCGGACTTGGTCCCCGTCTCCAAGTCGGCGCTGCACGCCGAGGGGGACCCCGGGGTGGGGTTGGGCGCACGGGGTGGGGGCGGGGACGCTCTGCGGCAGGGTCCCCGGACCCTGCGACCCGCCGGGACCTTCGGGACGCACGAAGCCCGGCCCTCCAGCCGGCGCCCGCCCTGATTGGCGCCCGCGGCAGGCCTCCCGCCGGCTCACCTGCCACTCCCAGCCAATCGCGGCCACCAGAATTGGGGCTGTCGCCGGGGGGAGGGAGACGTGCCGCGGGCCCAAGGCTGAGCCGCCCTCCCTGCCGAGTTCCCGTCCGGCCCTCGGCAATCCCAAGCCCCAGCCGCCGGCTGCGCGCCCCGCGCCCCCTTCTCACCACGTCTTTCCTCCCGCGCGCTTTGATGCGGCAGCTTCGGACCGGGGCAGCTCCGCTTCTCAGATCGCTGGGACCCTCCCCGACGGCTCCGCCTTCGCCCCTCGCCCTGTGTCCCTGCCGATCCCGGGGAGGTGGGGTCCGGGCCAGTCACAGCCCCGCTGAGGCAGCATGTTCACGTCCAAGTCCAACTCGGTGTCTCCCTCGCCGTCCCTGGAGCAGGCCGACTCGGACGCGCTGGACATCAGCACCAAAGTGCAGCTCTACGGCGTGCTGTGGAAGCGGCCTTTCGGGAGGCCGTCGGCCAAGTGGTCCCGGCGGTGAGTGCCCCCCCACCGCGCCCCAACGGGACCGCCGGGAGAGAGCCCCGGGCCTTGGCACCCCTCTCACCCCCTTCAGTAGCCGTCCTGCCTCTGCCTTCCTGTGTGACCTTGGCGTCACCCCGTTTCACTCTACACTGGCTCCCGCCGGAAGATGTGGACCTTAGTCTGGGCCAGGACAACGGGGATGGGACCCCTGCCCTGGGGCGGTGGCGAATTGTCTATGGAATGAACCTGAGCCTCGAGTGGGAACGCTGGGTGTGGGCAGAAGAGACCGTGGCCGGGGTGGGATCCCAGCTGGGTCAGGTCAGGTCAGACTGAGGCGAGGGAGAAACTCCATCTCTAGCCAAAGATGAAAAAGATGCCCTCCTGGGACCCCCCACTGGCAATTCCATCATCTTCACAACCCCTCACCCAGGCCGGGAGGACCAGGCCTAGTCTCCCTCCCACCAACCACCCACCCTTACACAGAGAGGGACCTGGTGCTTCTGAAAGGCTCAGGACAGGGAGGGAGGAAGGGCCAGGAAGGGTGCTTGTCCCTGGGGAAGTGACCTTGGCAACCCCTCCAGCTGTCCCTTGAAATGATTTTTTTAACAGTGAGCACAGGGAAAAGAGATTCCAGTGCTTCAGGTGGAAGAGCTGGAAAGGAGGGAGTCAGCTTGAGTGAGGTAGGGGATAGATTGGTCCTGCCAAGTCTTGATCCTTTGCAAGGGATGATGGGGAGAAACCGGGTAGTCCCAGACATCCTTCAGCACCAGCTGCCTGGTCCCCAGCACAGAGGTGACTCCCCAACATCGGTAGCCACTCTCCACTTACAAATGAGCCAGGGAGGTATTGGGAGAAGAGGGGGTTCACAGCCCTGGACTTGCAGGAAGCTCCCAACTGGCTGCAGGTGCTGTGGGCCATTTTCTCAACAGTTTCCACTCTCCAGTCAATTTCAGTTCTGAGATTTACTACTGGTGTGGCCTGGAGAACGCAAACCCTGTCCAGCCCTTCCCTGGAGGTGTGACCCTTCCCGGAAACCAGGGGTATCCAGATGCCCCTTCCCCATCCCACACTACGAGTCTGCCCCTGAGCAGAGGGGGGCCTCCAGTGTTCCTAGGACCACAGATCACATGGATGTGGTAGTGGGGGATACTGATGTTCTGTTCTGATGAATAATTTAATGTTTCTAGAAGACTGCAGAACAAATGGAGCCATGGACAGTATCTCACATTTTACATCTCTGGTTTCATGTTGTTTTATTACTTCTGACAGGTTTCTCTCTAGGATTTAATGGAATACAGGCTCCTTGAGTTCCTCTGAGGTTGAGCTTATCTCTGACTCCCTAAATGGAGGCTTGGAGCAGCACGGAGAGTATTTGGGGAGCTTCCAGGGTTGTGCTATGTGAGCTACAGCCCCCAGGGGCCAGAAGCAGCCTTGTCTGTGCCAAGGCACTCGAGTTGGGGTGGAAAGACTGTGTGTAGATTCAAGTGCAGAATATCTTCCCCCAGCACCCATCTCTCTTCTGCCTTAGCAGTTCCAGATAGCCAATCTTTCTTTTCCATTGGGTCTGGCTGCTATTCTGGGTCCTGTCAACCAAGACTTCTCTTGCCAGACATTTTCATCTGACTGCATCCCTAGAAAATGCTAGGTGCCTGTGATCCCCCAGGGTCAGGTGTACAGGCCATAGGACCCCAGCAAAAGCACAGTGGTGGTGCCAAAGAGGCTTGGAGAGGTTTAGTGTCCCCCACCCAGAGACTCTACATCTTCTCCATCCACTACCGTGGTCCCCACAGCCACCCAAAAACTACCCAATCAGAATCCGAACAGCATGTATGCTCTGCAAATACAGCTTCAAGTCAAGTCCTCTATTCCCCCTTCTAAGGAGATTGTTACCTGGGTAGAAATTCCTTTGTAGGAATTCTGGAGCTACCACTGTACAAAGACTACCCCTCACCTGGGGTTCAAGAAAGAACTAACATCCCACCTACCCACTCTAGGCCTCTGTGCTCACAGTTCTGGGAATACACAACACACACACACACACACACACACACACACACACACACACACACACACACATGCTATTTAGCCTTGGATCAGTGACAGAGCCAGCCAGAGAGGCCCTGGGTATGAGGGAGAATGATGCTCAGCCCCTCTCATTTCCCATCAGGGCCCCCTGGGCCCCACCTTCCCATCTGCAAAGTGGAGTCTCAGGTCAGCTAATTAGCAGCCACAGGAAGACTTGGGGACAGAGCAGCTCAGGGCCGCCACTGCAGAGCCTTGCCATTAGGGCGATCGATGGCTGGGGCAGCTGAGGGGAGGGGGCCTGAAAAGGCTTGTTGCTGCATTAATAAAGAATGGGCTGGATAGAACTGGCTGTGGCCGGCTGGGTTCTGTAAAACCTTTTCCGCTCAGGGTCGGTCTTAGGACCTGTGCCTCCAGCCTCCACTGCCCAAGCAGCTGTGCCTGCCTGGGGTGGGAAGATACCCTTGAGCTGAAGGGTCAACTTACGTCCTGTGGACAACAAAACGGGCAGGGAATCAAAGCATTAATTAGCAGAGATCAAATAATCTGGGAGAGGTGTCTAGAAGGGAAGGCTGTTGACTGTGTCCTCACCTTGGTCTGTGAGCAGTGGAGACAGAAGTGCCAAGACCTGGCAAAGACCTGGGCAGTGCCAAGACAAAGAGGAAGGGAGTGGGGGGTCTCGCCTCAACCAGTGTTGTGTTGTAGGGGCTTGGGCTCGGCTAATTCTTTCCTGAGATTGAATGCATTTGCCAGCCTTCTATTCCCTCTCCCAAATCCCTCCTGAACACCTCCCAAGGCTAGAGCCCTTGAGAGAAGGACGTACACACTTCCTTCCCGCAGCAGGAGCATCTATACTCCTCCTCACCCCTCCTTCTCCCCATGGGCAAGGTAGCCAGTAGGTCCTGAGCTCAGCCGAGTAGTTTACTCTTGCAGAACATTAGTGGGTCCCTGACGCGGGGAGCTAAGATTCATGGTGTCCACCCAGTGCCAGGAGAGCCGTGGAGACAGTGACCATGTGTCCCAAATCTCAGGCCACAACCTGCACAGTGTATAAAGATTATCTGCGCAGATGAGGGTCACCATACCAAAAAGACTTGAGGAGACTTTCTTCCCACAGAGATTTGGGGCCCAGGGTTTTGACTTTGGTTCTCAGCACTGCTTTGCAGAGGTGACACCAATGCAGAGCTTTCCCAGAGCAGAGAGAAGAGCTTAGCATGTCCGCACCATGGCACCAGGCTCAGCCTCACCCTGGTGACACTGGGGTTTGGTCTCACATTCTGGCACCCCTGGCATCCCCCTAAGCTGGCTGTGTGAGGTGTCCCCAAGCACAGTTGTAACTTTTCTGCTGTGGAGGATGCCTCCAGGACGCTCTTTAAAAAATAAACTTCTATTCTTCAAACTTCTACCAGAGTGGCAACATAAGGTGTGGGGAACAGTGACCGGGTGGCAGATGAGGGGCAGGGATGTTCTGCTAATGGGAGTGATAGTCTGGGGAGGGACAGAGCAGAGGAGCTCTTTCAGCATTGATGAAGAAGGACTTGGGGAACAGTGTCTCTGCCTCCAGAAAAAAAAATAGTGACCAAATTACTTCTTCTGAAGATTTCATAGTGTTTTTCACTCTCTGGCTCCTTGTTCCAGAGCTGCTCTCCCAAGCCCACTGACAGGAAACTGAGGCACAGAGGCAGGGGAAGTTGCCTTTTCTAAGTCTCCTCAGGTTCCTCTGCACGCCACCCTCTCTCCTTTCTGTGGTGGTAGTATCCAGGTTACAAGGAATCCTTGGGTTAGGGAGATGGGCACACTCTAGGGATCACACAGCCATAAATGAAATGATACATATCAGTCAGGCTTCACTGGGGCCATATGATTATTTACCCAGGCCAGGTCTGCCAAAGTTAAGTGAGTTAATTGTGCAAAGAAGTAACCCTTTTTTTCCCACCCAGTCCCCAAGGAGCTGCCCTCAGTGGCTATTGATGTCCTATTTGAAAATGAATCTCACCTGTGTGTGGGCCAGACCTGAAGCTTGCAGACAGTTCATCTTCCTTATCTCCAGGGCTTAAAAATAACAAAGTAATTGCTTCTGAGAGCAGCTGTGGGTGTGGTAGAAAGTGAATCTAAGGCCGGGCATGGTGATCACACCTGTAATCCCAGCACTTTGAAAGGGTGAGGTGGGTGAAGCACTTGGGGTCAGGAGTTGGAGATCAGCCTGGCCAACATGCTGAAATGCTGTCTCTACTAAAAATACAAAAATTAGCCAGGTGTGGTGGTGGGTGACTGTAATCCCATCTACTGAGGAGGCTGAGGCAGGAGAAACGCTTGAACCTGGGAGGTGAGGGTTGCAGTGAGCCGAGATTGCGCCACTGCACTCCAGCCTGTGACACAGCAATACTCCATCTCAAGAGAAAGAAAGAAAGAGAGGGAGGGAGGGAGGAAGGAAAGAAGGAAGGAAGGAAGGAAGGAAGGAAGGAAGGAAGGAAGGAAGGAAGGAAGGAAGGAAGGAAGGAAGGAAGGAAGGGGGGAGAGAAAAGAAAAGAGAAAGTGAATCTAGGATTAGAGGCAGCTGCTCCAAGTTCCAGCTCCAGCTCTGCCAATAACCAACTGCATGATACAGGCTGTGGCATTTTACGCCACTGGCCAGCAGTATCTCATCTATAGAGCAGGGGTTGGATGGGTCAAATTGTGTGCCACAGATAACCACAGAGGTGCCTTTAGTCTATTATAAGGGAATGGGGAACAAACAGGGGTACAGCTCCAAGACTCCCTGCCCACTTCAAGCAGTACCTCTGCATTGTTATATGGGGTTTTTTTTTCTTTTGAGACAGAGTCTCCTGTCACTCAGGCTGCAGTGCAATGGCTTGATCTCAGTTCACTGCAACCTCCACCTTTCAGGTTCAAGTGATTCTCATCCCTCAGTCTCCTGAGTAGCTGGAATTACAGGCATGCACCACCATGCCTGGCTAATTTTTGTGTTTTTTAGTAGAGATGGGGTTTTG